ATAAGTACATAAAGTTTTCCTATCCAAAAATACTAGTTTTTCCTCTCTAAAAGTACAACTGTACAAGCTTTTATTGTCGTGAGATGGTCATGTTATAGCTTTTGTATTAAAAAATAAATCAGATCAATTCTCTTTGGTAACACTGTTTTTTAATATTCTCTTTGGTGCGTGAATTGTTAAAAAAGTTGTTACCTTTGATAATCGTAAAATATTTATACTTATTACTCATGATATAAATAATAATTTTCCATTAAATTTTAACTATAGTCAGGTTAATTTTTTATTTTTTTAATAATTATATATACATATATATATATATTATTTTATATATTTTTTGTATGAAAAAAAAATAAATTAAACCACCCTTCACCACCAGCCGCCAAGCAGTCCTCTCTCCCGCAACCTACCCGGCCCGCCTGGACGCTTAAAACATCATGTCGTCGGTAGACCTCTTCCCTTATGGCCTTGTTAACCCTTCTTTTCCTGCCCCATCCCTGTCTTCGCCCCCCCTTTTCCCCCAAACCACCATCCCCACCCCGAAACCTCATCCCTTCCTCGAACCACCCCTTTTGCACCCTTATAAACCCTAAATTGCCCCTCCCTTACCTCCAAAACCCTAGCTGCTAGGGTTTCGAGGTGGGGGAGGGGCGATTTGGGGTTTTGAGGGGTAGGTAAAGGATTTTCGGTTGGGGGGTTGGGTTGGTGGTGGTTTTTTTTTACAAAAGAAATTATATTTTAAATAATTTGATTATTAAAAAAAAAAACTACCCATGGTTAAAGATTAAAATTAAAATTGTAATTTTTTTTGGTAATCAATGATACAAAATAACCCATGATAATTAAAAAAAATAAATCACAACTTACCAAAGAGAAAAAATAAAAAGTAGGGTGTTATCAAAGAATATTTCTCAAAAACTCATCCGTCGCAATAAAAATGTTTTTGTTAGTATTTAATTTTAGTTGACATGTTTGTTATATATATATATATATGTATATATATATATATGTATATATATATATATATGTATATATATATATATGTATATATATATATGTATATATATATATATATGTATATATATATATGTATATATATATATATATATATATATATATATATATATATATATATACTTGAAAATATTGAGATGAGATGAATATAACAAATTCAATATGACTATTACAAAAAAAATAAAAAAAAAATAAAAAAAATAACTGAATAGTGCTCAGGACAAAACTTTTCAACGAAGTAAAATAAAATGAAAGAAATTGCATATTGTTTAAATTTGCAACCAAAAAAACTCAAATATGGCATATGTTACTGTTTATACCAAAAATCGCCTAAAGAGACAACCTTTGTTTGGATGCCGATAACTAGATTAATAAAGATGCGAAATGTTAACAATGGAAATAAAAAGAAGATAGACAAACACAATAATTCACTATGATACGGGCGTTATAATAACCATTATTGATATAAACACAATAATTATTCGAGCGTCTAGGGTCATTGATAGTAAAGAAATACACAAGAACAAGAGATTAAGTATACATTATAACTATTGAGAAGATGTATAAACGTTGAGTTGATCGTTGCAGCATGTGAAGCCATCGAAAGAGGCATGTCGTCGTTAAGATTGTCGAATGAAGCTTCGTAATGTATCTTTTGATGATGTACTTTACAATGTGTTATTTTTTTAGTAATTTATGATTGGAATAAGCCGAGTAGGATCTGCCCTTTTTTGCTAGTCGTTGGCCTCTTTTCATAGGGCTTTAAGTGGTAAATTTCGGTTGAGGAAGGTAAGGGTGACTTCCTTGATTTTAAGAGGTAGTTGTTTGGCTTCAAGACCTGGTCATATGATGAATGTAGACTGATTTAGGCTTCATATTCATTGTAACAACTTTCTTGAGGCCAGTAGAAATAATGCTATCTTTTTTTAGGAACCACTAGAAACAACCTTGACTTATTTAGAAACTTTCTAGCTTCGCACTACGAGGCGCGTCATGTGACGTAGGGCGTCAGCGTCATGCACATCTTCTAATATCATCTGACGTGTCACATTGGAGGTCATTGTAGATCGACATATGTCAATGTAAGTCGCCATATGTCACTGTAGTTGTCAGATGTCGAGTATTGTCGTCCGTCACTGAAACGTGTCACTAAGATGCGTTATTGAGATGTGTCATTGACGCCAGATGTTGCTAGGACATAGACATTAGTCTCTTTGACCTTCTCCAACTAATTCGACCTTGAACACCAAGACTCGTCTATCATGTGACTACCTTGGTAATAACTTATAAGACAACCCTTTGGACTTCACTTTATGTTGTGGAAATTACGTCCATTACCGTTACAAGTAATAATCTAGTAACGATGGATATGTTATTAAGATCGTCTCTCACGCTAGTTTTAAGTAGTTTTAAATCAAATCACTGCATGGATTATGGACTTTTATGAAATTAGTACTATAATTTTGTAGCATTGCTGAATACTAGTAGATAAATTCTCTTTCGATTATGATCATATAGTTATTTTTATTAGATTTTGACACTCTTATTAAAAGTGAAATAATAAAGCTATTGGATTGATGAGCCGAACACATTTGATCAATAGAAAAAGTTAGATTTTTCTTTTTTTTTTTCGGGTAGTGAGGAATAGATTGTGCAATAGAAATGTGAAACAATAATTCATTGTAAGCAACCCAACCCAAGTCCCCAAAACTGTAAGTTTCATTATAGTGCGCTTTTCTTAGAATGATGAGACTCGATTTGAATCTCAAAAGTCATTTAAAAATATTTTTTTATGTGTAAATAAATGGGTTTTGGTCTTAGAAATTCAAATTTCACGATTAAATATGAGTCTTTTACAAGAATTTTACAATATACTTTAACAATATTTGATCATTATTATCTTTTATAACAAGGAAAACTTTTCATACTTCTAGAATGGGAATTATTAATATAAAGTTTATGAAAGTTGACAAGTATTTTCAAATTTGCTTACTTTTCCAACGGGAGCTCTCTTTTGACAACACTCTCTCTCTCTTCTCTTGAGTTCCTCAAAAAAAAAAAAAAAAAAAAAAAAAAAAACGAATATTAAACATGAAGTACGAGTATAATTAACTGAAGTGACGGCAGTGAGCTGTTTTGGTAAGGCTTATTTCACAAGTTCTCCTAGATGTTAACTTCAATTACCATAACAGTGTCTAGTCCATTATGATCTAAAACTAAAAAAAAAAAAAAAAAAAAAAAAAAAACATTAAAATAAATCAATATGAGTAATTATTCAGTATATAAATTCAATAAATCACACTGTCCATTGTCATTTAATCTTATGGTAAAACAAACATAATTTTTTAATAACGTTTGGTTGCCCTCGAGCAACATAATCAACATATGTGACATGCCTAATACATCACCATTAAGCACAATTAAAATTGCATAATAACCTTTTACATTACTGGAACTCTGGAAGTCCTAATAGTACTAGTGAGATGTTTTTTAAAGTACTACTAAAAGTGTCTTTTATAGTAATGGAAGCATATATAGTACTGCTGAAAATGTTCAGTAATACTATATTACCTCTCAAAGTTACTTTCAAAACGTCATTATTACAAAATTGTCATTGTTTTGTATTTGCTTGTGTGTAACGATGATGTATTAGGACTTTCTCAATACCTAATCCAAGTTTTGCAGTGAGAAGTTGTTCCCCTCTCTAGAGGGCAGTTGGTGACACAAGGGTTGATTAGATCAATTGATTCGTCACAGTTTAAAACAATTTGGGCCAGCAGTATTGAAGCTTATAAAATGGTTTGGGCTTAATTGGGTCGTATATAAGCTAGTTAAATTTTTCCAAGATTACTCAGCACCCGGTTGCATTGTCCAAGACTGATCAAATTCCGGTTGATCATAGATCGGACCTAAGTATAAAATCCCGTGCTATCCAAACCATTACTCGATTATTTACTCGGCTTTTTTCAGACCGGACTCAGACTTTTGTCGAAATAAGTGTTTAGGCTGTTGTTGACTAAACCTGTACTTTTTTTAAGTCGGACACTATCAGAGTATCAGGCAAGCAAGACAGGCCATTGTTAACTCTAGCCCTGATGTCAAAGGCTACACAATGAAGCATGGTAACCAGTTTCTTACTTTCTTTAAGACCCAAGTTACTAGGTCATATGGTGCGCTTGGCTGCTTGGGTCTGTGGCATAGGTTGGCTTCCTCTGAACAGTGAACACCAATTCAGCTGCTGCTTGTCGTTTTTACAGAAGTTCCGATATATGCTAAAGCCAAGCTGCACGTTGCGTATGTCTTTTGCACATCAATTGTTGGATTGATACTCGCTACAGAGGGTCTGAGACTATGAGGTTTGATAGGTGGATATCTTTCCAGTTGAAAAGTGTTGTTTAAAAAGGAATGCAGTGGCGCGTTGCTTGCAAGTTGCAACTGTCATAGGATGCTGCAGAACCACGCAGGGGAAGAGGAACTAAGCAGTATGAAAAGCTGTTGTAATGAGACCAGAATATCTGGCTCGCAAAGTCCAGAAGGAAGTTATGCTTCGCTTTCATTGATTATATAGCTGCTCCCTTGTAAGTTTGGTAATTGTAATCTGTTATTTCAGGTTTTGTCTATAAGGAGCTTCTTCCTTGAAGGTAGCTCCTCCCCTAAGGTTTCTGTACTGATAAGCTCTTATATTCTGGCCTTTGACGGCGTTCTCTAATAAAATAAACAAATTAAATACGGAGTAATTAATAAAAAAAAAAAATGTTTAGATTGAGGCAATATATATGCGAAAAATAAGACTAATTACTAAGTTAAAGCAGAGAGTATCAGAATTTATAACAAAATACTATGGATGGAATACAAAGTACACTCTAGAATGATTCAGAATTATCCCAAATCAAACAATACTTCATCAGGTAATCAAAATGCTTTTCAAATTGCCTATTGCCTACGAGTAATTGCCAAGTGCTTGTTTGGTTAACCAAAAGAACAAAAAATGGGGAAGTAGAAATTTATGTAAACAGTTTAGGGTAGTTATTTCACATGTTTGGTTAGTACTAATAATATGAAATTCGGCTTCCCACAAAACATGGGTGATTAATTACCTAAACCCCCTTGATCGATAGAAATTCACGGGTACGAGGAATTCCTTTAGTCCAACCAAACATGTCATTGCCTAGGTATTGCAGAAGGGAAGTAATTTCTCTTGGAAGTATAAATTCCCAAGGAATTTTTTCTCAGTGTGAGCCAAACAAGTACAAAGTAAGCCCTTGAAGAGTTCAAAGACCATGGATACTTGAATTTTATGGCAAACAATTCAATGCGCCTTACTCTAGACCTCCCGTCAAATCACACTGCTTCCGTTCACTGCAAATGAATCTCTGTAGAAAGATTACTCATGTCTGATGCCTAAAATTTTCATGGCAAATTCCCAGGTGACAATTGCTGCCGCATTGGCTGGGAATGCCCGAGCTATAGTTGGACCCAAGCCAGCATAGCATCCTCTTAGCCCAGCTTGTTTGTAAACCTACAGATATACAGTATGTTAGCTGAACCACCAAGTAACACACAGTTTCTGCTAGTCCAAACTGAACTTGCTTTCATGAAAAAAAAGAAAAATCAAAGAGAGAATTTATACCAGCTTCAACACTTGAAAAGGATTTCTTGAGTAGTTTGGATCTGGGTTGGTCTGAATCATGGTTTTTGCCATATCCAGGGGCAAAACAGCAGACCAAAACTGAAAATTTTCAGCCAAAAGAACAGTTCAGGAAATGAAGTAAAATGAATGGCAGAGAATTTTAAAAAAACAAAAATCAAAGGATTTAATCCTGTGAACTATCTACACTTACAGCAACACCACCTAGGCCGCCACTGATGATCCCAACCCCTATCTCAGCCAAGCCTTTATATTCTCCAGAACAATCTTTGAGTTTCAAGTGCATAGAATGCCGGACATTCTCATAAACACTAAAGAAAACAGCATTCCCCACAGATTCTCTTAGAAATGTTGCCATTCCTCCACGGAAAATGCCTGTTACCTGCACATCTAAGACATCAGCTCTTCAATAACCAGTCGGTCTTTTCATGTACCTCATACATAGCAAAAGAGATTCCTCACCCCGTCAGTTCTTATAGTCTTAAGGGCACAATCAACAGGACCGGTATATGTGCTACCCTTGGGAATCAAAGAATCAGTTCCTTGAATTTGCATCCTACACTGGAGAAGCTCAGAGTCAACTTGGAAGAGCCTAGAGCAATATATTCAAAAACAGCATATTTCCTTACCTTCACTAGCTCCGTAGGACAGAGTACAAAGCTGATTATAGCTCCAGAATAGGCAGCTGATGGAATAATGACTAGGGAATCAGGTCCAGAACTTTGCAGCTTGCCCTTAAACCATTACAGACAAACCATCACCATTGAGGGAAAAATTCACATTTAGTCCATATGGAGCAGATTCCATACAGCAACAATACATTTCATGTCTATAAATTTTGGAAATAGATCTCGGATGGAAAAGAAGTGATTTTTGTGAGCTGCAGGGAAAGAATTTTTACCTGGAGAGATTGCTTTGTTTGCGAGTATATGCCAAACAGAAGTGAACTTTCAAAACCCATCCCTATAAAAGAGGAGGTAGCACCTCGATAAAGACCCCTAACCTATTGAAATGAACACGACAAACTAGTAAAAAAAGAAAAAAAAGGGACATTGCATACACTAATCGCATACTGTGGCAAAAGAGACAAGCAATCACAGTCAGTGGCAGATCCAGTATGGGTTCAGTGGGTTCAACTAAACCCATACTGGATTTTGGGAAAAATCTGTAATTCGGGAGAAAAAAGAAAAAAAAAACCTTATATTAACAATCACACATACAATGATTGAATGTGTATGGATTCAGTTCAATGGTCTAAACTGTAAAACCAATGTGCAGGAGTTTAATACTCTTATAAGTGTGCGGGATCAAACTGTGCCAATAGTGCCAAACATTTTTCTTTCGTGTTTTTGAGAAAGAATAGAAATACTTGTTATAAATTTAAATTTAGAACCTCTATCAATCCAAATGAATGTAGAGTTGCAGGTGAAAGTGGTGGATGGTTCTAGTGCTATGTTTACTAAGCTTGTGTTCAAATCTTATAATTTCCTTTTTAATTTAGAATATTTAAAACATTATCGATTATTTTTGGGCATTTCTATAATCTCTTCACCATATTTTTAGTACTTGTACGAAACACAATTACTCTCAAATTTTAGTATTTGGTATGATTTTGTTTTGAATTACGATTATATTCACTTAGGAAAACAAAAACCAATTGAGCTCAAGCTATCTTTTGAAAATTTTTAGCAAGACCTTTATACGGGTAATATACTGGTATGGGAATTGAATCTATCAGTAATGTTGCGATTAATTCACATGAAGATGGATTGATTACACAATAAATTACTACATCCAACTTTCAAAATCCTAGTTCCGTCCCCAAGAATATGGTAGTAATTGGGAGTTAAGACAATATTTGATTTATTTATGTTTATCAATATCATTTAGCTTGCTAGTTGTCTAATGCTCGAAGATCTGGGCCCATATGCAAAAATTTCATCCGCGACTAATCACAGTAGCTGCTTCTTCCAAGTTCCAATCAGCAGCACAACTACATAGACGGAATAGAAATCTATGCAGAAGAAATTTGTATGCCAACGCTAAAGTAAGCTATTGGAATAAGAGAATGTGGTGTGTAACCTTAACTATTGTAGACTGTTTCTTAAAATAGAGTTAAGGACTGAGAGATCAGCAATCACCACCAGCATCCTGACACTGAAAATCTATTAAGATTATTCCTAACTGATCAATCTACTGAAAACCAACATAGATTTGGCAAGTAAAACTCTTTTTTATTTTTTATTTTTTTAAGATTTGAATCATCTAAATAGTTCCAATAAGTTGCATCATTTCTCTACTAGAAAGTAGTAGTGGCAAACGGGTTGTTTGAATTAAATATGGTTCAAGTGAAAACAGTTCAGGTCATGTCCAAATTAGGAGTGGTTCGGTGCTAGGAATTAGCATGGTTTCTGCCAGATTACAGCTCTAAATATGGCAGAAATTAGGGAAGAACAATGATGATTATATTGATAATAGGTGAATTACACTAATAGAAGGATAATTCCACTTTTGAGAGGTGGATTCTCTCCTAATATGAGCTTTTGAGAGGGTCACTCTCTCCCAATAACATAACCTCAACAATATTCATCATGATCATTATTCCTCCTAATGAGGTCTATTTATAGAAAATACCCCTAATAAACCTCTAGCTTATTCCCCAAGTTACTACTATTAGACTATGACTAATGTGCCCTTCCCCTAAATATTGATTCCTTGCATTACCCGCCGCTCAAACTTTCACCTTGTCCTCAAGGTGGTTTATAATCGGAACTGGATTCCCGACCTCGGCTACGACTCTCGACCTTGGCAAGTGGGCTGCAATTATCTCCAGAAATTGATACAAAGCTGGCTTTTATGGGTTAAAGAGTTGGGCCGTATAAGAAGTGAAGGGATGAGGTGAAAGGCTAGAGAATGGTAATTGACTAATTGGGTAATGAGTGTTGGAGAAGGAAAGTTGGGCCTTAAGTCAGTAAGCCCATCTTTGTACTTGGGTTAGTCTGCTGGCCTTTCATCACGTTTGTAGCAGGTGACCAAAGCTGATTTAAATCCTTTGTATTTGCTATAAGTGGTATTACCCAAAATACCCTTACTAGCATATTCCATTTCTGACTTCCTCTCCAAGCCAACCAAAGACCCCCTCAAGCTTCCCTCATACCCCTCTCTTTCTAGACACCTCTGGAAAACACCAAGCAGCAGCAGTTCAAGATGTCCACCATTGATTCCGTCGCTGGGCCCTGTACGGCTACTGACCAAGCTACCTCCGTCCAGATCACTGCCACCGGAAAATCCACCAGAGAAATCACCATTCCTCACCCCACTACACAACTCACCGTTCATAATTTCTGGCCCACTAGAAGCCCCTTGTCCACACTCACTGCTCCAACAACCTACAACACCACCTGTCTCGCCGGCATAAAAACCAGTGCCACCACCAGACCCGCTCCCTCCGGCACCACCACGATCGAACATTCCTCTTGGCGATTCTCGTGCAAGACTAATACATCCATTACTCTGTTTTTCGCCGGCAACACCTCCTTGACCGCTACTTTTCCGGCCACCGTTTCTACCAGCGGAAAAATCTTTTCCACCTCCGCTACCACCACACGCACATTCACTCAGAGACTGTCCAAATCTACTTGTCTTAGCATCACTAAACCAAATTGTTGAACTCTCAAGTCCTCCCTCCGACATCTCAACAACCGCGCCACTGCGAAAACCACCAAATAGGCCGTCGGTAGCAGAGCAAAAGTATTGATTACCTCTGTTTATCTCCAAATCGGCTTTCTCCACCATTGCGCCATTAGAGAGGCCGCTCACGCCGGAGAAGAAGTACCGGTCAGAACTGGAGATTTCCAGTTCCTCCGCCATCTTTTCCTCATGTGATGCAGGTTCCTCCTCACCACATGACAACTCGGAGGTGGCTAACTCCTGTTCTTCTTCCTCGGAGTCTTCTTGAATTACACCTATCCCTGATTTGATCCGAGAAATTGCATCCTCAAAAATCTTCTCTATGTTCTGGCACAATCGATCTTTAATTGCATCTATCTTGGCTTGGCCTCAATTTCTGGCTGTGAGAACATGTCAGAGAACTCACTGTTCACCGGCACCTTCACCTGACTTCCGGCAAGGTCACCCAGGACTGTTCTGATACCATTTGCTAGGAATTAGCATGGTTACTGACCAGATTACAGCTCTAAATATGGCAGAAATTAGGGAAGAACAATGATGATTATATTGATAATAGGTGAATTACACTAATAGAAGGATAATTCCACTTTTGAGAGGTGTATTCTCTCCTAATATGAGCTTTCAAGAGGCTCACTCTCTCCCAATAACATAACCTCAACAATATTCATCTTGATCATTATTCCTCCTAATGAGGTCTATTTATAGAAAATACCCCTAACAAACCTCTAGCTTATTCCCCAAGTTACTACTAATAGACTATGACTAATATTGCAAGGAATCAATATTAGGGGAAGGGTATGTTAGGCATAGCCTATTAATAGTAGCTTGGGGAATAAGTTAGCGTTTGTTATGAGAGTTTTTCTATAAATAGGTCTCATTAGGAGGAATAATCATCAAGTTGAATATTGCTAAGAAGTCTGTTATTGACTTGTTGGAGAGCACCTTCCTCTCGAAAGAAGGCATTGTATTGTTGAACAATGAGTTTGATAATACAACTTATCCCTCTTAGCTATCCTTTTCTATCTAATTAGCTTGCTTGTGACTGTTTGAGAGCTAATTCCTAGCAAATGGTATCAGAGCAGTTCTGTCCTGTCCTGGTAGATTCAGCCTCTGAAATTTCTGTTTTCAGCCATTAAAAATATATATATATATATATATGAGAATGGAAGTCGCCGGAGCTCCGATTTGGTCACAATCACTTGAGCAATTCTCCGAAAGGATGAAGGAATCCACGAAGAGAATTGTTGATAACCTTCAAAGAAATCTGGAGAAGATATTTGAAGAAGCATTTTCTCGAATTAGAGAGGAGCTAAGTCTGATTCGAGAAGGGCTCGAGGAGGAAGAAAGTGAACTCAGTGATGAGAAGCAGTCAACCACCACTGACCTTCCAAGCGGTGATGTAGAAATCATGATGGAGGAGACAGCCGATTTGGAGATGAGCAACTGTGAACAATACTTTTGCTCTGCTGCCGACGGCCTATTTAGTGGTTGTTGCAGTGGTGCGGTTGTGGTGATGACAGTTGGAGGACCGGAGAGATCGGAAGTTCGGTTTAAGGATGCCAAGACAAGTAGATCTGGACATTCTCCGAGTGAATTCGTGTTTGGTAACAGTGGTGGTGGTGATTTTTTGGGTGGCCCTAAAAAAATTGACGGTGAAATAGGTTGCGGAGTTGAGGGTTTTGCAAGGGAACTAAAATATGGGGGAAGGCTTGGCGATTTCGGGGATGGGTTTACCGGTTGGAGGCCCAAGGGAAATTGTCGGCGAGCTGGGTGGTGGATATTTTGGCGAGCTGGTGGTTTTCACAGTGAGGGAGTGTGGGAGTTATGGCTGGAGAACTCGAGCGTGGAGGTAAGACCACCGCTAGTGGTGGCCTCAACAGGGAAGGTGTCTTCATGAGGGGCAGGTCTGGAGCAAGCGGCTCTGGAGGTGGTCCGGGCTGTTGGTTCGCAAGAGAAGACGGTGGAACGATCAATTCGTCTCCCTCGATGATTGAAGGACGGGATGGTGATTTTTCAAGTGGTTTTACAGGTGGTGGGATAATGTTCGGAGGTGGACTGGGCTTTTTTACCGGCGGTGAAACTGATGGTGGGAAGTTGCAATGGAGGGGGTTTCACGGTGGTTTCCAGAAGTACCCAGAAAGAGAAGTTAATGGGAGATGCCTTGATGATTCATGTGCTAGCTTGGAGAGGAAGTCAGAAATGGAATATGCTAGTAAGGGTATTATGGTAATACCACTTAAAGCAAAGAATTTAAATCAACCTTGGTCACGTGCTCCAAACATGATAAAAGGCCAGACTACCCCAAGTAAAAAAAGTGGGCTTACCAGGCCAAATATGGTCTTACTGACTTAAGGCCCAATTTTCCTTCTCCAACACTCATAACCCAGTCAGTCATTTACCATTCTCCAGCCTTTCACCTCATCACTTCACTGCTTATACGGCCCAACTCTTTAACCCATAAAAGCCAGTCTTGTACTTCATCAATTTCTGGAGCGCCAAGATCGAAAATTGTTGTCGAGGTCGAGCATCGAGTTCCGATTATTATCCACCTTGAGGACAAGGAGAAAGTTTGGGCGGCGCGTATTGCAAGGAATCAATATTAGGGGAAGGGTATGTTAGGCATAGCCTATTAGTAATAGCTTGGGGAATAAGTTAGCGTTTGTTATGAGAGTTTTTCTATAAATTGGTCTCATTAGGAGGAATAATCATCATGTTGAATATTGCTAAGAAGTCTGTTATTGACTTGTTGGAGAGCACCTTCCTCTCGAAAGAAGGCATTGTATTGTTGAACAATCAGTTTGATGATACAACTTATCCCTCTTAGCTATCCTTTTCTATCTAATTAGCTTGCTTGCTTACTGTTTGAGAGCTAATTCCTAGCATTCGGTTCGGTTTCTAAATAGGTCAGTCACATTGTAGTCTATTGTCAAATTTATTCCATAGTTCATTACAGTTGATTATAGTCATAGATATTTCGAATGAATAATTCATGCATATTTATTCACTTTTTACCATTTTAACAATTTATGACCTTGTACCACACAGTACACAAGAGATAGATTTTGCCTTGGTCTCGCCTGTTATGAAGTGATGTATGAATGCATAAAGTAGCTAGAAAAGAAAATTCATTTTGAAATAGTAATTAATATGTAGTTTATCTGAAACATTTTTCTCAAAAAGAATATCTATATGCACTTCCTCTGAACACTCTGAAAAATCCTTTTCCAAAAAAGTAACAAAATTGGTCTACACCTCGTGCAAGCTTTCAGCCACTGAACATTGTTTACCTCATGCACCCAAATGTCTTAAGAGACTCTTACATACGAAACAGTATATGAGATGGTCAGATAAAAGCGTGTTCCAGCTAATTCGCAAAGTAAGCACATAAACTTAGCTAAACTTCTTAAAATGCAGCTCAGATTCAGAAGTGGAAATGTTGCATAATACTTCTCTCATCCCAGAGTAAATTCGACGTTTGTAAGTGGAGGAGAGTTTAAAAAAAAAAAAAGGTACATTAAATTTGAGCAGGCAAGTGTGGAGCCTAGCTTTAGAGAAAAATTGGAGGATAAAAACTTCAGTATTAAAACAGACACGTGAATTTTGATACATCATGTCATGGTTTATAACTAATTTTTTAGTTTGGGATGGTTCTAGTATAATAGACCCTTTAAGTCGGGGTTAATCTGGTTAATTTTTCTAAAAATTTAATTAAGAGCCATGATGAATTTTATGATTGCTTAGCCTTCTTAAAACATGGGATTCCTAACCTTAAAGCTGGGGAACAGAGATCCATACCCCTTCATTCTGCAATATCCTAGCAGCACAATGCAATCCATTTCTATACTTGACACCATGTACTTCAGTATTGTGTTTTTGTAACTTCACCTGTCAGCAAGAAAATACCACATATGAGCCAGGCCTGCAAAGAAAGCATCTACTTAAACATAATAAGATAGCTTATAGGATTAAATCTCCTTCGTGTACTATAGTCCATTTCATGGATGTTAAAAAATACTTCGTTATTGGTAAGATCTTAAACAGTGATTCCAGATTCAACCAAGTGAAAATCTAATTTGTTTTTAAACTGCATCTCAAGGTTCTCAACCTCAAAACTAAGAAGATTGAGAATAAATTTGCAAAAATACTTGGAATAATTCTACCAATTCTACAAAGTCAATCTGTATTGGTATAATCAAGTCCATGGCTGCATGCTAGTGCCAAGTGTATTTCAGTATCTAAAGATCACATATAGGTTTTTTGAATCAGATGAAAGAATCTGAGCAGTACAAATCATATTTACCAAAAATGATTTTCATTCTTTGGTTCATTCACAGCTAGAAGTAGTGAGCATTTTTAATATTTAGTGTCCCAAAAATAAATATGCTTAACTTAGGCCATTAACTAACATGATAGTTATTCAAGATAGAAGAAAAAGGCTGGGATCCTGACATTACAGAGGTCAAGCTAACTTATGCTACTCGGAATAATTGTCCTAACACACATACATTGTATGATCTTTTACATCAATTATTTTCCAAGTATTAGGTTGATAAATAATAATCACCTAAATTGAAGGGTAACGTTGAGAAATCTTAATCCCAACGCTTCTCAAATATCTAACCTTGTTTAAAGATGCAATCATGAAAAATGATATCTGATAATGGTACTGTAGGATGCCCTATAATTTTTGTTGATAAGCTCTAGTATGAATCTAATCAATTGTTTTGTTTAAAATAATTGGACTCAAAATATATTGTAGGGGTAATTTTATTGTAAATGCCGTGAAGTTTTTGTTACCAAGAATAATTAAGTATTCCTCATAAAAGAAGAATAAAATGACATAGATGCTAACTCTTCCAAAACATGATATATTGCGGGATAACCTAAAACGCAACAAGTTACAAGCAGCCTAGCACACTATAGACATGAATTACAATTTCTTTGCTCTTGTCTAAATTTTCTCCAAGTGCAAGTCTACATCCATTGCAATGCTTTAAAGATTAAGCATTCTGATGAAAAGAAAGCTTCTCCTTCTAACCAATGCAAGCACTCTAAGATGAGCATGAAACGAGTACAAACTTAATAACATTATCAAGAAGTTGTCTACCAGACATGGCCACCAAATTATGCTCAAACTTAATAACATTGTATAGAACCAACAATGGTAACATACATCCGAAACAAAACCCCGGCACTTAAACTCAAATCACAAGAAAATTAATCTTCCATTAACAAACCCCCAACTCATGAACTCATTCCAACATCAAAGATTCCAAAACCAGACATCAAGTTTGCCCATCATTAGCACTCAGAGAATTATCAGCAATATTTAAGCTCTTTTTTTTACAATTTGCTCGGTTAACACAATTAATACACCATATTATCAATGAGCTCAACAATCTATGACATCCCCAACAAATTTAAAGAAACAAAAACATGGGTATAGTGCCAAAATTGTATAAATTTGGTGGGAAATTGGTAAAATTCAATAAAATTGAGGAATGCAAAACAAGAAGTAGAAGAAGAATAAAGAATGGACCTTGACAGTGTCAAAGGGGTGGCCGATGATGACGGTGGCGACGCCGGCGATCAAGCCCGCCAAGTACTCCTTGTACTTGGACACATCTGCCGAAGATGCCGAGCGTTCTACCATCTTTCTCTCTCTACATTGCCATAGTAATTGATGCTACAGTAAAGTTAAGCTTTGATTGAGGTTCTCAAAGAAGAGTATCAGGAAACGAGATGACGCTGTAGAAAAGGAGATTTAGCTTTTTCGTTTTCTGATTTTGCAACACAAATTATAACTTAGGGTAAAATTTGCATATTTTAAGGCAAAAATGGGCAAAACCCGTTAACGGTTTTACTTATGAACAGTGGAAATTGTACTCGTCATGGGTGGTGGGGCGGATATGGTTATAAGATTTTTAGACGGCTATCGGTGTGGACTGTGAAGTTATCATTCTCAGTATCCGATCCACCCCATTGTCATCCCTACTCCCTCTATTTTTTATTAGTTATCTCATAGTGATATGAGACGCATGTTGATGCAAAACTTTGATCAATTATATCATAACAATTGAATATTAATAATCTATTCATTTTCATAAGCATGTTCTTAGGTATAAATCATAAATATTGATCAAATTAGATCAAATGAATAGTGCCAAATTTATTAAGGATCTTAGTAAGGAGCGCCCCCAGGGCGTTGGATAAGCATCTTAAATATTACATATAGTGGTATTAATTTAGGAAAGCATGACAAAATCACGCGTCAATCGGTGTAATTAATACTAATTTTAATTTAATCTTTCTACTTTTAGCTAGCTTATCCAACGTCCCCGCGACGTTCGTTAGCTTTTGCCATTTATTAATAGGGCACTTTAAAAAAAAAATTTTAAAAAAAAAAGGTTGTATAAATTTGTTATTTGATAGTTACTCAATGTTGCTTTGATTTTCTTTAAACATGGACAAAGATATCAAATTTTAAGACATCTTCGTATAAACCATAGGTCCATGGCTCATTTGATGTTTGACCCTCTAATTTAAGGATTGTGTGTTCTACACTTTCGAATTTTGATGCAACAAACAACCCATCAACCATTGTGTTCGATATCACCTCTAAAATTACTTTTAGCCTTTTAGACCGTGCCTTATGGCAACAGACAAACCTTAGCTTAATTGTTTAGCGGAAATCTGCAATTAAAATTCATGAATTAAAAATATTCAAAAAATTTATTCCATAGACTAGATATGAAATCAAATTTATTCCTTCAATCACTTGAATTTTAATTATTTTTGTTACCCCAACTTAATTTCTCTCTTCTCAAATTGTTTTGCTTCTCGTCATTCTCATTATCTTTGTTATAGGACTCTCAGATGTCAACAATCTTGATATTGTTTCAAGGTAATCAAAAGATGTGCTATTATACATTGAGTTTGAACAATTAGCTTAAAGTTCTAATGAAGAATAAAGAGAGAAGAATGACATAAGAATAAGACGTACATGAAGAAGGCAAAGAACAAACCAATCGAGCATAATGTGGAAAATTACAAGACAATCACACATAGCAGTTTAATTTTAGGTCGGGCCAACATGTTTTGCCCAATCCAACCGACTAATTGTTAAGCCTCCAACCCAGCCGCCTAATAACCACCTAATTCACCTCTACAAGAATTCTTAATTGTTGGATTTTAGTAGCCATGATCAACCCATTCAACTGGCGATTTATCATCTCAAACCAAATTATTAGAGTATACTGGAATTGTGAAAACACTTCAAACGCACACGTACAAAATAATCAACTATAGTCAAAATTCCAAATAAGTAATGGATGAATTGCAAATAAAGTTTCTTTTCATTCTACCAAAAAAAAATTACAAGTAACAAAACTTGCACAACATTTTGGCAGTGCAAATTAAACCTATCAAAAAACAAAGTTTTTTTTTACTTGGTCAAGATTAAAACCCTTTTTTACTGGCTATTTCACCAAATGCTACTGAGTTTTTTAAAAATTTACCAAATGCTATGAAGTTTTCTTAAATTCACCAAATGCCACGTAGTTTTTTTAAAAAAATTCACCGAGTGTCATTAACGACTAACGGTCGTTAACTCCGTTAGTCATTAGTTAACTCCGTTAGTCATTAGGATTAAATCATGACACATGTCATGATATGATTGGTTCATTTTAATCATTTATTTTAACTAATAAAAAACCCCTTCCATAGGCCAAGGAATGAAAGTCATACTAAGGTTCTTGGATTGAATTAGAAAATTATGTAATTTAAGTTGTGTATGTTTTGAGAAAACATATTATATGAGTAATACATCAATTTGCAGGATTATGTTTAAACAAAAATATATTAATTGTCTTATTTAATTATGGTTTTTGAAATTTAATAGAATTTCCAAAATAATTATGAATTGATGGGCTCATCAAGTTGATGACTTGGTGAATGAAACCCCACAGAGTGAACTAAATTCATAAATTATTAAAGTTCCTAGCTCGAAATCGTTAAACTGGACCTAAATGAGTTCAATATATCGGCTAGCATGTATTCCATGTGAGATTGATTGGATAGTGCAGTTTCATGGGTTATAGGGGCATAGAAATGATAGAGATGCTTGGTCATTCACATGGGTATGCATGAATGATGAATGATCGAACTATTGACCTACTTTGAAGTTCAAGTATAGAACTTTTGGATATATTAGTGGATTCCTTTGACATGAATGGAACATTGATTTCATTCAATGATTGATTTAGGGATTTGTTAAACATCGCCCACAAATTACTACATAAAGCCCACAAAATTCACTTGGTTTGACAATATTGCCCTTGACCTAAAAAAAAAAACACTCACACTCTCATCACTCACACTCTCATCGCTCATCTTCTTTCAACCTCTCTAAAAAAAAAAAAAATTCAAACAACGGCAATGTCGAGGCGGCAAGGCAAGGAATTGGCGGCGGCGGCGGAGGGAAGGAGGTCCCAAGGAGGCAAGGTACAATTTGTAAAAAAAAAAAAAAAAAAAAAAGGAAAAACCGCCGTGACGGAGGTGGGGCGCCCTGGCTGGACGCCCAGCCAGCGGTGGTGGCGCCAGCTGCAGACGCCGCCACCAGTAGGCTGGCGCCTGGGCTGGACGCCATAGCCACGGTTGTGGCGTTTATTCAAGGCGCCGCAGCCGTGGCTGTGGCGTCCAGCCCAGGCGCCAGCCCACTGGTGGCGGCGTCTGCAGCTGGCGCCACCATCGCTGGCTGGGCGTCCAGCCAAGGCGCCCCCCCCCCCTTTTTTTTTATATTTGTTTTAAAATATTGTTTTTTTTTTTTGTGTAATATCTTTTTGAATTGTTTTTATATTTTGTTGTTTATTTTTATAAATTTTTTCAATTTTGTTGTATATTTTCTATGTTTATATTTTGTTTACAATTATTTGTTTGTTTTTTTTGTACATTTTTATTTTTATTCTCTATTTTGATTTGTTTTTAAATTTTTTTTGTGACTTTGATATTGTTTTTGGTTAGTTAATTTATTTTAAATTTTATTATTGATATTGTTTTTGGTTAGTTAATTTATTTTAATTGGGAATGAATTATTTATGTTTATATATATTCTTCTGTGTTGGTTTTATTTCCTTTCTAAGTGTATTTTTTATTCTATTATTTTTATTTAAGTGTTTTGTTAATTTCTTTATTATGTTAATTTGTTAGTATGTTTTTAGTTTATTTGATTTGGGTAGTGGTAGCTATTTTTCGTATAAATTTTTGTATGTTTATATATTTTAAAATTTTGTGTAGAATTCACTGGGTCGTCATGGTGCGGGGAAGAATGTAGAGCTTCTTAGTAGAAGCTATTCAGTGGAGAGGTCGGGGCATAGACATGTCAGATCCCGTGGTATTTCGGCCTCAGCTCGTAGAGAACGGATCCACCGTCGGGATGAGGATGACGATGACGATGATGATGCTGAGGAGGGTGACCAGGAGGAGGAGCAGGAGGAGGGCGCAGATGAGGATGAGGATGTGGACGATGGCAGTGGACCGTATGATGATTACGGTCCATTCAGTCAGAGGGTTGATGACATGTACGAGACACATATGGTGGAGGTGCGTAAGGGTAGGGGTGGTAGGTTTGTTAGTAGATTTGGCACATCATCTGCGTCCACTGTATCTGGGCAAGCAGGAAACGGTCGAGGGCCGGTAATGATTCTTGGGTTGTTAGGAGTGAGGTACCCGGTGGGCCTGTTGACGGGAGTGTGATTCCTAGCTTTCTAGGACACATAGCTGCCCGTATTTGGGAGGACCAGGAGAGGCCTTCAGTTACGGGGTTGTTGAAATGTCATACCCGGGAAAAGACTTGTAGCTTTTTGCGTACATGGGCTGAGGCTTGGACGGCGGAGAGCGAGATGTTCGAGCGACTGGAGGGCACTGGGGTGAATCACGTTCCTGCCACCATGCACGATAAGATTGACAGTACGCTGATCACGGCTTTCATTGAGCGATGGCAGCCGGATACAAACTCTTTCCACCTTCCGTTCGGTGAGATGACGATCATGTTACATGACGTCGAGGCCATTCTGGGGATTCGTGTTGAGGGTAAACGACTTTGTGCTGTGGCTGATGCGGATCAGGCAGATTTGCTGGCGGAGTTGTTGGCGGTGGACAGGGCTACACTGTACACCAGACACTAGGTGTTTGGGAACACGGAGGTGTGAAGATCGCATCCGTGTTGCAGCGGTGTTTGTACCCCAGTGCACGTAGGACGCACGACGCACAGTTGAGTGCTTATGTTTTTCTACTCCTCGGATGTACCTTGTTTCCGGATAAGAGCGGCGGAAACAAGCTCAGGCCACGCGACATAGTAGAGGCGTGTGACCCCGACAGTGTAGGCCAGTGGAACAGACCCTTGCGCAGTGGGAGTCGTCGTCGAGGAGGGATTACTGATGGTTTTGTCATTTTATTTATAGAGCACTTTAAATATTATCGTTTTAATTTATTAAATTGGACATTATGTTGTAAGTTTGTAACATTTTAGATTGTTCTTTTAGCTTCCAACTTAAACATATTATCATTGCTGTTTTTAAATTTTGATATAACCGTTCGTGGATCCGCGCAACTTACCCATGCAACATATAGAATGCAGTAAGCAATACAATATAAAAGATTAATGTTCTCATTAAAAGAGCAACGTACAAATAAGATTACATAGGAAGAATGTAAACATGAAAAACTAAAATGCAGCTAGGGTGTTCCATTCGTGGATCCGGTCATGATATAGCGCATCCCAACCCTCTAC